TCTACCGCAGCTTAAAGGACGGGATGGACGCTAATGGTTTCACGATTTCATCCAGGAAGACAGGGTTTGTGGCCAGCAGTACCCAGGCGAGCAAGCACCTGCGAGAACTCCTGTTGCCTCATGAGCCACAGGTGTACGACGTGATGCGTGACTTGGGCGTCGACAGTACAGGGGGGCGAAAGCGTCGCTTGGTGACGTCGGCAACGCGGGCCAAGAAAGCCCATGCGAGACATAGCAAACTGTCCAGGCTGGGGCCGCCGCCCAGCACTAAACTCCGCGTGGTCAAGGCAGCGATCACATCCGTTGCTTTGTGGGGGCACCCCTCTGTGGGGGTATCACCCAAAAGAATGAAATGGCTCCGAACAGTGGTAGGAAAACACCTGGGTAAATACAAGCTTGGGAGTTTGGAAACCATCTTGGACATGGGAGCCAAGAAATGCCAGGATCCAAAGCGCACAATCCACAAGCAGCATTTCAAGGTGGTGGCCAAAGTTTTCCGTGCATGGATTGGTGGCGGAAAAGCCCACTTTGACTTGGCCTGGAAAACCACTTGGAAGAGGTTGAGTGCGGCCGAACACCACTGGCCACTGGTCACGGGACCGATGGCTGCAACCATGGCGTACTTAATGGATCTGAAGGTGGATGCCAGTGACCCAGGCAAATGGAAGAGAGGAAGTGTCCTCAACGTTGATTGGACCCAGCCACGCATGGGTAGCCTCGCCTACAAATGGCTTGAGGGATTCCTGGAGGAACAGAAACGGGCTGCAATAGCGCGACAGGCAGGTGGCGCTGGTGCCCAAGAGGGGCTGGATTGGACGCCGCATCACAAGCTGACGAAGCTGGGAGGCCTAAGCCCAGGCCTTATGGAAGGTATAAAGTCAGTGTGGCACGCGGGCGTCATCACGGAGTCCAAGCCAGGATGGTGCAAGAAGTGCCAAATGCCAGCAACTCTGGAGCATGTCCTCAAGGAATGTCCTTACTGGCGTGAACAAGGGTTCAAAGAACCCAAGCTCCAGGAATACTTGCGTCACAAATACCCATGGGAGTGTCTGTGGACAAGGGCACTCCTGCCAAAGCCGGCGGTGTGGCACCCGAAGCCGCCGGAACACCTTTTAGGTCTACGTTACCAAGGATGCTTTGCAGCTGATGCAAAAGTGGAAGCGGAAGGCTTGATCTTCGCCACTGACGCAAGTGGAGGTCCAGGAGGAATAGACCCACGTGTACAAACATCAGCCCTCGCAGTGGTGGCTATGTCCTGGACAAGAGGTGTGCTGGTGGAAGTCGGACGGATTACAGAGCTGGTCTACCCGTGGCAGCCGGTGGTGGACATGGAGCGCCGTGCACTTTTCCGACTAATGGAGCACACGGAGGATCTGATTGATGTCACTATGGATTGCAAGCCGGCAGTCCAAGTGCTACAAAAAACACAACCGCCGGAGGATGACCTGGAATGGAGCAAAGTGTGGAATGGCAGGAAACGTATCAAGGCAACATGGGTCCCGTCCCACAAAACTGAAGAGGAATTCCTGGCGAAGATGGGGCCGGGTACGTTGTGGCGACGTGCAGCGAATGACATGGCAGACAAAGTATGTGGAGCAGTGGCGGCGGCTGCTTACAGCCCAGCGCACAAGAGGCGTGTCAAAGAATTGGACAATGTGGTGCGCACACTTTCCCTGGCGTACGGTGCACGCGCAGCCCACATATTGCGGAAGCGCAAAGAAGAAGACTTCCCCTTCATCCTGGACCATGCGCATTACAAAGAGAAGATGGAAGCCTCGCAGAAAGCTGAGGGATGCAAAAAAGAGCAGGGCAGCGCCAAACTCAACAAACGCCAGCGGCTTTGGCAGTTGCTTAAAAACCCGGAGCGCGGGCATCAATGGGAGAAGGGCAGCGAACACCCCCGGAATTTAACACTGAAATGTCAACTGTGCGGGTTGTATGTACAACAAACCCTCACGAACTTGGAGGTGGTCTTGGAGCAGTACTGCGTCAACCAGCCGGAGGCGCGAGTGCGTGAAGAGTGGGGTATCCACCCCTCCCATAATATGGTGAATTTGGGAATCCGTTGGGTTTGCACAAAGTGTGACAGAACACATGCACCGGTCAGCCAGAAGTGCAATAAAAGCCTGGCGGGTGAGTGCAAATCGCGGACTTCTCAGGGCAAGCTGGCTACCCAAGCGCAAACCCTTGTCAATGGTGGAAGTATGAGCAACGTCCAGTTTCAACAGCCTCGCGTTCAGTTTGGTGGGAAACACGCCAAAGCTAAGCCCCAAGCCAGCGCACAGCAGAAGATGTCATTGTTTGTTAGGCCTCGCCAAGCTGAGGGAACGCAGTAATTCCGCAGCCGTTTGGTGCAAGGAGACAGGGTTTTCGGCCTCGTAGCTGAGGGTGAGGGCCTCGCAACGGGGAATTGCGATTGGTGTTTACGGCCTCGCTTTGCTGAGGGAGTGTAATTCGGCCTCGCGGTGCCGCGTGCTTGCGACATCGCTGAGGGTAAAGAGAGGAGGCCTCGGCCTCGCAGAGCTGAGGGTGAAACAACGGCGTCCTCATCCTCAAAAGACCGGCCGGACGAGCAGCCGGAGAAATTGACCCTCCAGGTGCGAATCAAATTGGAGGATTCGTGGAAACCAATTTTGGAGGAGCAGTTCCTGGAAACAGACCCCAAGAGGGCAAACTACACTCACCTAAAAGCGGCGTGTCGCAGTCTCGCTCGCTGCAGCACAAGGAACGATTGGGTCTACCAAGCGGAGACCTACCTCAGTGAAGAGCGGAAGCAACTGTGGGCTTCTAAATTGCACAAGGCGGGCCTGTAGCAATGAGGCAATGGAAGACGGATGCTACGATGAGAAGACAAGGGTCCCGACTGCCATCCTGGTTAAGGAATCGGCCGGACAAAGGCAAGGGCAAAAGCAAGAACAAGCAGAAGGATCAGCCCCGAGAACGTTCCCCGCTTCGACAGGCCAGACACCCGGAGCAGCCTTGGGATAGGGAAGAGGAGAGAGCTTCGGAATCTCCGGTGGGTCCGGTACGCCTACGGGAGAGAGGAGAAGACAGTACGGCCTCGCATCAAGCTGAGGGTGTCAATGGAGAGCAAGAGGCAAGCCAGCCTCGTACAGTCACGCTGGCGGAAGGGCCAGGTGCCCACAATATGGCCTCGCAGGAAGCTGAGGGAAAGGAGAAAAAGGAAGCCATGGGGCAAGTCAAGCCTGTGCACCTTTTGGTGCATAAACTGCAGAACCAGCAAAGGCCAAGGACAGCGCTCCATTGGCTTGGGGAGGTCCAATTGGTCCGCAACCCAACGACAGGGCAAAGCTTACAGCCTAGGGTGCTTCTTTATAGGTGCGGGGCGCACTCGACGAGGATATGCTCTGGATCGGCTATGGGTCATGAAACTAGCGATGGAACCCCAGAGCTTTGGCAACGAAGCAGGGTATGGGGAACAATTCCCCACCCTGGTCACCAGGACCCTGTGGGCAGGATGGATTGGAGTCCTTTTCGACGAAGCGGTGGAGGGTTACTGCCACCACTACTTCTATGGAAGTATCATCCGCAGGGCAGAGCTGTTCAACACATGGTGGCAGGAACATCGCCATGAAGCCGGGGTCCTCAGACAGTCCCTGTTTTACCTGGTGGCTATAACGTCATGGCTGACCATGCAAGGAGTTGCTCTATCGGATATCACGGTGAGCAACGTTGGGCGCGACCCAATGTCAGGATCGCTACCACGGGCAGTGTTCTTTGACACGGCGGAGTGGACGACGCTGCAGGAGGAGAGATACAAGATATCATGCGGCCTCGTACGCCTCCTGGAGAAATATGATGAGGAGTTACTGGCAACCATACGTGGATTGGTCAGAACGTACGACGGCAAGGCCAGCGCGCTTTGGATGGCGTGCGTAGGCAATGTCGGGCCATTTGCCCAGCACCTGCTGGATGCCGGAATTGCAAAACGAGGATGGGATGGAACCCTACTTTCGGTTCCGGCAACAGAGATCCAGAAAATCACGTTGGGCATGCCGTATGACGAAGCTGATGAGTGAGCAGTGCAGACCAGACAAGAAACATGGATAGTGGTCAGAGAGGCACCAAAAAACCGAATCAAAATACCGCCTCGGCGTGCTGCCTGAGGAGTTTCGGCCTCGACTTCGGTCTGAGGGGTGCAAGAGAGGGAAGTTCGGCCTCGGCATGACCTGAGGGAATTTCGGCCTCGACCACGGTCTGAGGGAATGGATTTCGGCCTCGACAAATGTCTGAGGGAAGTGAGGGCTAGTACCGGTAGTCTCACTGTGCAGAGTTTGTAAGTTTCACCCTGATACCCCAGCCCCTTCGGGTGGCTACGCCAAGCAGCGTGCAGACGAAAAATTCACCTTACCAGAGTCCATGAAGCCTCGGGCCATGACCTGGTTTGAAGACATGTCCGGCCTCACTACGGTTGAGGGGTGTGGATGGAAGCACTCAGGACATGCAATGAGACTCGTAGAACGAGCATCTGGGTCTACAGGAATTGACCTCCCTTCGGTTGAGGGATAGCGGCCTCCACGAACGAGGGCATGGATCACCTCCCGAATAGACAACACAGAGAATGTGCAAGCATACAGGCAATTTGCCTTGGCCAAAGTCTTCAAGCCAATGGCAACGACTTGGTCAAAACGACATTCCGGCCTCACTTCGGTTGAGGGTAGCGGTACGTCAAAACCGAGGACAAGGAATGAGAGGGGGAACTTACCGGCAGTTTCACCCCACAGTTTTAGTAAGCTTTTGTTTCACTTGAACCCACAGCCCCTTCGGGTGGCTACGCCTCGCAGCGTGCAGACGAAAAATTCACCTTACAGCCCCTTCGGGTGGCTACGCCTCGCAGCGTGCAGACGAAAAATTCACCTGGCTCAAGTCTCGGCCCCTCCTAAACCCTCCTAAACCCTCCTAAACCCTCCTAAACCCTCCTAAACCCCCTAAACCCCCCTAACCCCCTAAACCCCCCCTAAACCCCCTGAGGCCATGGCCGAGGCCAGCAGCTCGTACGCTACGACGCCCATGGCCCAGACCTGTCGCGGGACTAACCCTTTATTTAGGGTTTAGGGTTTAGGGTTTAGGGTTTAGGGTTTAGGGTTTAGGGTTTAGGGTTTAGGGTTTGGGGTTTGGGGTTTAGGGGTTTTTAGGGTTTTTAGGGTTTTTAGGGTTTTTAGGGTTTTTAGGGTTTTTAGGGTTTTTAGGGTTTTTAGGGTTTTTAGGGTTTGTAGGGTTTTTTAGGGTTTATAGGGTTTATAGGGTTTATAGGGTGTATAGGGTGTATAGGGTTTATAGGGTTTATAGGGTTTTTAGTGTTTTTAGCGTTTAGGGTTTAGGGCTTAGGGTTTAGGGTTTAGGGTTTAAGGTTTAGGGTTTAGAGTTTAGGGTTTAGGGATTAGGGTTTAGGGCTTATAGGGTTTATAGGGTTTATAGGGTTTATAGGATTTATAGGGTTTATAGGGTTTATAGGGTTTAGGGTTTACAGTTTAAGGTGGAAACTGGCTTGTGGACCTCCGGTGACAGTCTGAGGGCCGGGATTGAAGTTGTAGGGCGGTGTTCGTTGGGTCTTACCTTTCAGGGTCTTTTTTTAGGATCCAGGGTCTATGGTTGAGGGGCTTGCAAACAATGCGCTGGCTGTAGCCGACGGCCCGGATAAACCCACAACGAGCATCTCAACTGGGACCACGAAAAAAACAACTGAACCATGGACCCTCATGGCCCGCATCCTTTTCTAAAACCTTACAAAACCCTCAACCCTGAACCCTGAGCCCTGAACCCCGAACCCTGAACCCGAAACCCTAAAACCTAAACCCTAAATAAATGGAAAACGGGAGGCAGGCGGGGAAGGCAGCGTCATGGCAAAGCCGTATGTCCCGGGCGCAACGGGCGAGCTAGAGGGTTTAGAAGGGCAAGGTTAGGGGCTACTTAGGCATAAAGCCGCTTTGTAAGATGCGTTTCTAGGTACAGATACACATAGAAAGATACATGAGAAAAAGGCCCTATATCGGGGTGGCATAGGGGTTAGATAGGCGGGATCCTCAAGACCATCCCCCTAAAACTTTAACCCGCGATTTGCCCACGCCAGGAGTCGGGCGTCGGAGACTGCGGCGGTCTCGTTCGAGAAGACCTCTGGGGCCATGTACCTCGACCAGGGGCTTCCGCAGAGTTTTGGGCTTGGGGGCTGAGGGCTTAAGGACGTTTAGGGTTTAGCGGTTTTGGGTTTTTGTCTTGGAACCCGGCAGCAAAAGGACGCCCACACAAAGTTAGACGAGGGAGGCAAAGGCAGACAAGGTGTCCAAGATTCATTTCATTCATTTCGCTGGCCCCGCCATGGCATGCTTAGGCCAGCTGCATGGTTCGACCACTTCTTCATCTCACTTTGCTGCGCTAGGTGTGAGATAAGTAGCAGCTAGCCAAAAGGCGAGGCATCAGCAAAACCCAGCACAGGAATCGCCTCTCACCGCAATAGTAACAGGAGACCAGCCGGTAGACACAAGTCGATGCAGCGGGTCGCGCGGCTGCCTACTAGTGATGGAAAAATGGAAACTGCGAGTCGCCAGGGTTCTTGTCTGTTGTATGACCTGCCGCAGACATGTGCTTCTCTGATCTGCTGGTGCTGCCGAGACGCGCTCAGGCATGCAAACGCTGCATACTGGCTGGCACGCACAGCGAGCGCAGATCTCACAGGTCGACTACACGGCTACTCAGGCGCACATGAAGGCAGACGTGTCGCTCTGACCGATGCAGGGAAGAGGACAAGGGTTTCCACTCCCAAAGGCATGCCTTTCAGAATGCGCAGAGTCGTGCAGGGCCTTTTGAACCACTTCTCTGTAGGTCAAACTTGGGGAACCAACATCGCTGCGAACCCACGCGGGGCCACGAACATTTGCCATTACATCGGGCTTACAAAGACGGAAACCCCAAACTCCAAACCCTTACCTAAGCTCCCCTTAGAACCCCTGTCTCGTTTTCCTATTTACCGACCAGGAAAGCACAAAAGCCATCTCCAAAACCGCTCTTTTAAACAATCGTGAACACAGGCCATCTGCCGTGGCGCACGCCACGGTTCCTTTCACCACGGCGCTGGCGCACTCTTGGAAGATCTCGGCGACCTCACGTCTCCCGGCAGGTTTGGGGTTTAGGGTTTAGGGTTTAGGGTTAGGGGTTAGGGTTTAGGGTTTAGGGCTTAGGGTTTAGGGTTTCGGGTTTAGGTTTTCAGTTTAAGGGAGCCTCATGAGCACGTCCTTCAAATCCTCTTTCTTGGCCACGGCCGTGCTCAAGAAGTGCTCCTCTCGTCCTCGTCATTGACCATTGCCGCGGTGTGAGCGCAGCGCCACCGCACTTCAATCCCAAAATCCTGCCCCCTAAACCCTAAACCCTAAACCCTAAACCTCAAACCCTAAACCCTAAACCCTAAACCCTAAACCCTAAACCCTAAACCCCAAACTAAAAAACCCCAAGCTCTGTGTCCCGAAATTCATACCCGTAGACCTCCTCAAAACCCTCGAGCCCAGCTCGGCACGCGGCCCCGAAGTCGGCGAGCAGCAGCCCTGGCAAAGAGACGCTTACTGTGGGTTTAGGGTTTAGGGTTTAAGGTGTTCGGGTGTTTTAGCCCAAAGGGTCTTGCAGGGTTCAGGGTCCAGGGTTTAGGGCAAGTTTAGGGTGTAGGGTTTAGGGTTTAGTGTGGGTTTAAGGCGTAGGGTTCAACGGCAAGGTATGAGTTCAGGAAGCACCTGGGCAGTTACTCTTACAGGTATAAGGAGGGACCGCTAGAAGCTTATACAAAGTCCCTATATACCTAAGTAGCCCCCAAATAACCCCTAAATGACCCCTAAGGCCCCTTATAAGCGTCCCTCCTTATGCCCTAATACTCTTACGCCAGGGTTTAAATGGCAGTCTTTGTCGTTCACCCCACTCCAACTAGGGTTTTCGGTGTGTTGCCGCACTTCCCTAAACCCTCAACCCCTACACCCTAAACTCTAAACCCTAAACCGTAAGTTTACGGTGTGGCACGAGCGGGTTGCAAGAACCGTGGTGGCTTCAGGGGGAGCTCATAGGCATCCTAGACGAACCCTCTTACTCTAAGGGGCTTAGGGTTTGGGGCTTGGGGTTCAGGGTTTAGGTTTTAGTTTTTAGGTTTTAGGTTTAGGCTTTAGGGTTGAGGGTTTCGGGTTTGGGGCTTAGGGTTCCATATTATGGCCCACATACTAGTAACGGCCACATAGCCCTTATCAAGCTATGTTTTGGATCTCAACGAGAATCTTGAGGGATTCTTTTTTTGTGGGTCCTTTAAGCAACCTGACTATTTGGGGGTGCAGAATGGTTATCTGGGTGTTGCTTTACAGCCCTTTGAAAATTTTCTATGAATAGGTTCCCTTAAAAGGGAAAGAAAAGGGAAAATTAAACTTATCCCCGAGCAAGACCCAGTTATTACTTCGGGTATGTTGAAACTCAGCACAGAGCCCGGGCAACCCGCCTTCGAGGGGGGTTCGGACTTCGGGTTCAAGGTTCAGGGGTTTAGGGGTTTAGGGATTTAGGGTTGAGGGTTGGGGGTTTAGGGTTTAGGGTGCGGAGCTGCAATTGGTATTGTAGAAAGGAGTTCGTGTTGGGGTTGGATGGGTCAATGAACCCGGAAATCATATTTGGCTCAAGATGGCCGAGAGCCGTCAGCTTTTGTTGAAAAAGTACGTACGCTTGGGGTTGGGTTTAACGGGTTGGAGTAGTCCCGTTCCTTCTCCCTTATCTTGTCCCCTTAGGGTTGGGTGTTCTTGTTTCTGGTTCGATCTGGGAAATCTATATAGGCGACTGTTGAGGGTTGGTTTCTTTCCCTGTTCCCTTTCGGTTGCCCCCGTAGGTTATGAGCCCAAATTAGGTTCCCTGCGGTTTGTGTTTCGGCTCAAGGGTGGAAGTTTGAAGCCATGGCGACCAACTGGTTACGGACTGGTGCGGCATCATCGAGCTCCAATGTGGGCGACCAAGGTGAAGGCGGTGTCAAAAGGTCTGCAACGGGTGAAAAAGTTGTTCCCAATGTGGAAGCTCTGGTTGATGTTGGTGGTATGCGTGGCGAAGAGAAGCCGGTGGTGGAAGGACTGGAAGACCAGATGGAAGTAGTTTTGCTGCGCCTTCTGAGCAAACATGGGCATCTTCTTCGAGCTGCGGAATCTGCTGAATCAACGGGAGCGCCAACAACAAGCTCCTCTACGTCAAAGATGGTGGAGCAGGGGTGCCAGACAGAACTGGTTGGGGATGTTATCCCTGTTTCCAAGCGAGCTCGCAACAAAGTGAGTTTCGCGGCTGAAAGTGGTGATCTGTTGACAGGTGAAGCGGAAGAAACTGCGCCTGTTGCTGCGACAAAAAGCGGTATCCTCGTCGTTGGGGACGCAGAAGGAGTCGTTCCTGTTGCTATGGTGATGAGTGAAGGAGAAATCCTGGAATTGGAGGCAGCAAGAATACAGCAAGAGTCAGATGAAGACTTATACGCTGATGGTGGAGGCAAAGTGTCTCAAGCTGCTGACCTTCCAATCATCGACTGCGATGGGAAGACATGGGAACGCCATTTTCATGATGATGGGAGAGAATATCTTTACTGTTTAGACACTGGAGATACCCAATGGGTGGTGCCTAAGAAGACTGGAATGGCTGGAAACAGCGAGGGGCCAGGTGTTGGAATGGGCATTGTCCCTGTGGATGACGAGCCAGCGCTGGGTGCTACCTCGTCCTCGTCACCTACTGAGTCTTCTAGGGCACAACAGGGTAGCATGGAAAGTGTCAACAGTGGTGTAAATAGTGTAGGTGAAAAAGATTTTTCCTCTACTATCAGGGATAGCGGTCCTAGGGCTGGCGGTGACGCCCCGACCTCGGGTTCTCCTGATGAAGAGGGGATTTCTGGAAACCGAGCAGACATCGCTGAAGCTCAACATCTGGATCGGGAAGAGATGGAGGCGCTTTCTGAGGGTGTGGCAGCGGTGGAATCGGTGGGTCCAGAAGGAAAAATGCCCAATGTGGAGATCGGAATTGTGTCGGCTGCAGAAGAGCGAGTGGTGGATGTGGTGCCTGTCGTTCAGGAAGATGGCCCTGGAGATTTGGATGACGAAGGGAAAAAGTTGTGCATTACGACTGAGGAGGTCTCTTCGTTTGGTGCCGAGAATTCTGCCATTCAAGGGGAAAAAGAAGCTTCTGGAATAGCTGGAGACACGGAAGATCTGAAAGATGAGGCCTGGAGCGCCAATGATGCGCGGGTCAATGTGCCAGATAGTACCTGGAGTGCGAAGGAAGCACGGGTTGAGGCGCATATGGTGTCACGTTCCACGGGCGACTGCAACAATGGGGCGCAGGTCTCCGCAGCAGCTGATGACGGAGGTTCACAGGTGGACGCACTGGTGCAACTTGAAGTTAGCTGCGAGGAACGAAATGGCAAGGGCTACACCGGAGCCGATGAGGCAGCTGTGGTCAATGATGGTGGCAATTCTCCTTTGGAAACCATGGAACCAAAGGAGCCTGCGGTGGAAGAAAATGCACCTGCCGCGGATGAGCAATTCAATAGCCCTGCAGTGGAAGAGAATTTGCCTGCTGCAGAAGGCATGACAAAAGACTCCAATGATGGGTCCACTCCCATGAAGGGAGAAGTGTTGCCGTCTGGAAGTTCACCGGAAGTCGACACCGGGCGAACTGTAACGGATGAGGCAAAGCCATTGGCTGGAAAAAAGGAAGATCCTGAAATCCAGGAGCACAAAAAAGATGAGCTTGTGGGACTCGTGGAGCAGGACGAGCAGTGTGACCCAAAGGTGAAGACAAAGGATGCGCCAGGAGCCGATGATACAGAGATGGTTTCTGAAGAGCATGCAAAGAAAGTGCCCCGAGCGGGAGCCTTGGAATCACCTGGGACACATTGCTATCAAGAGGGAGATGAGATCATGGGTCTAGTGCGCTGCATCAATGGGTATGGAGCCTTTTTGGACCATGGTGATGTGAATGTGTTGATTCCTGCAGAAGGGAATAATGCATATCAGTTCAAATTTGGTGATACTGTCAATGGAACAGTGAAGCGAGTGGAAGATGATGGTACCATAATCTTGGACACCTTTCTGGTTTTGGAAGAGGACGAGGAGGACTCTTCTTCGACGCTGCGTAAATGGAAACCCAGCGGCTGGAGTACGTGGTGGACAGATTCATGGTATGCTGGTCAATGGTACCAAGATTCCAACAGTCAATGGGACTGGAGACGGGAGGAAGAGCAATCCGATGAAAAGGTTGCTGATCAAGAGTTATCCTCAGAAGAAAAAGAGGAAAGGCAACTTTATGGAGAAAAGATCTATAAAGCTCTTCTGGAGGATGGAAACGAAGATAAGGCCTATGTGGGCAAAATCACTGGGATGCTGTTGGGTCGCCCAATGGAAGATCTACAGGAGTGTGTTGCAGATCAATCATTCCTGAACGCGGAAGCTCGGCGCGCCTATGGCATCTTGCAAAGTGATGGTTGGGAACCTGATGGTACGGAAAGCACAGGTTTGGGAAAGATATCCACTTTTCCCCGAAAACAGTACCACAACGCGCTCTTCGAACTGGCATGCAGCAAAGGAGATTTACTCGACCAGTTGTGGGTGAAGCGGTGGCAATGGTGCTGAGTCAAGGGGAAGATGAGCTTTGGAACGCGCTTTGGTTGGACACCAAGCGATTTTTGCAGGAGCTTGATGGTGCAGTGCAATCCATGAGTAAAAGGGAGGGTAGGCCAATGGAAGCCTACATGGATCCTGACCAGTACAAAAAGGCTCACATGACTCCACAGACTGTGTCACCTGGATACAGCAAACTGTGCAAGTTCTTCAATAAGGGAAGGTGTCGCAATGGTGATGGTTGTCCCTATGAGCATCGTCGTTATGGTGAAGGTTGGCCAGAAGGGGGGTCAACTGATCCAAAGAACAGCCAAGAAGCTGAAGATGAGGATGGGAACATCGGTGACCCTCCCACAGAGGAAGGTACAGTGGATGAAGCACAGCAGGAGCGGGAGGATTTAGCCTTCCGGGCCAAGTACAATTTTGGCAAAGGTGCATCAAAGGGTGAACCTACATCGGGTGAGCCAAAAGGTCGTCTGTGTCTGTATTACAATCAAGGTGGTTGTAAATATGGGACTACATGCAGGTATCGTCACAACGATGACATAGCATTGGAAGGGACTTGGGAGCCCGGCAAATCTTGGGACAATGCTTCCAGGAAGGCACTAAGGGACGCGGGGTTCCACCATTGCTGTTTCGATTATTACATCAGAGGACGTTGCCGGAAAGGGTCAAATTTCTGCAAGTACTCCCACGACGAGATGTCTGACGAGCGGCTGACTAACCTGAAACACCTGGTACATGTGGCCAATCAGGTCCGGTTTGAAAAAGAGAGAGGATGGGAGATTTCGGACAGGAGCACTTTTCAGCCACCTGCGAGTGGGGGAGCTGAATCTTCATCATCCTCGGCACCAAAAGCGCTGCAAATGACCAATGTGTCACAAAAAGATGGTGAAAAGGGTATTCTGGATGAAGAAGAAGCTGATGAGCAAAAGAAT